CTTGGCTGGTGAAAAATGAATCTAGTGGAGCCTACTCACTCACTCATAAAAGAATATTCCTACTGGACCCACCACGTATCTAGCACTCACATAGGTTAATTTCACAGTGATAGAGAAGCCATTAGGTAAACAGGTGTCTACATTTTTCTTTTTTTGGTTCTAGAAGCCCTGAAAGAAGTTTAGAGCATTAAGGCAAAAGCATGTGTTCTAACTCTATAACTGGATGAGGAATACTTATATTTCTTTTATTAGAGGGAAGATATTTGAGAAACTCTGAAAGCTCAGATACAAATATATACCTTTCCTCCTCTTTTCCTTTTAAGCAAAATTTTAACTAAATTTTAGTTGATATGAGTGACAGAAAATTCAGGCTGTGACCAGAAGAACTAAAGGAAGGCGCCTCCTTACTTTTGTTCCCTTTTTTAAACAGGAGGGATTTGAGAGTTCTGATTTATTTCTCTTGTTCCCTTTTATTGTTCATGAACTTAAGGCTGCATTCCATTGACTCCAAAGTAATTTCTGAAAAAAGATCTGCTGACATTACAGGGTATCTGGATCATTAACCATGTCAGTGCTGACCAAGGAAATAATGTTCTGGCAGAAAATAGTTATTTGTTTAAAACAAAGGCTGAGATGTTGCCATTACTCACATCCTTATAGATGGCATACAGGTTATTTATTTTTGTGGAAAGTTCTCAGGAAACCTGGAAGCTAAAGATAACGCTGTCGATTAGAAAGCAGAATTAGAAATACTATGTGTATTCTCCCCATTCTGTCCTATTCCTCCTAGAAAATAAAATCGCCAACTTGGTGTCCCCTAATTTTTAGGGCATCCATCTTTTTGTTCCATTAGGGGATGTACTAGTCATGGCACGGGGAGGGAGGTTAGGATAGGGTACAAAAATGAATGGTAAGGGGAAGAAGCTGACTTGAAAAATAGATCCCACGGAGAAGAGTCGAAGGAATAAAGAATCTTTTGCTTGAAAAAAAGAAAAGATGGTTTCTCACAATTTTTCATTTATAACAGAGGTTGGTAAATATCTTTTTTGTGTGTGGACAGTGGGGCACTACCAGATTACATAGTAATATTATGTAGATATTATGCTGGCATATATATAATAAGAAAGAAAACAAATTTACACAATATTTCTCTGATGAAATTAAAAATATAATAATGGAGGGCAATTTTTTTTCAATGCTTGTTTACCAATGAGAAGCCTGGAATTTGTGGGGGGAAGGACAACATTTGGCTTAACTGGGATTATAAGTAGTGTTCCCTATTTTAAAATCATTACAAATACTCATCTGTAAAAACTCCTTTTTCACAATCTATACAAAAGTAGGTGCTGAGCTGCATTTAGTGCATAAGCCACAGTTTTCTGGTCTCTTCTATGGAGTCTTTTTCAACCCTGAGAAGCAGTTATTCTCAGCATTCATCAGGAATTGCATTAGAGGGAATGAACATGAATGTCAGTGATAGGAATCAGGGCTCTATATAGGAAAACATAGAGAGAGTAGGCAAGGGCTGTGGGGACAGAAATATAGGGAATTAACTAACACTTCTGCTGTCTGAACTCAGATAAAAAAAACAAATCTCTTGAAAGTCTATGTACTCCACGCTATATCCAGACAATATTTTTTTTTAAAGATTTTATTTATTTATTTTGAGAGAGAGAGAATGAGAGACAGAGAGCATGAGAGGGAGGAGGGTCAGAGGGAGAAGCAGACTCCCTGCCAAGCAGGGAGCCCGATGCGGGACTCGATCCCGGGACTCCAGGATCATGACCTGAGCCGAAGGCAGTCGCTTAACCAACTGAGCCACCCAGGCGCCCTGGACAATATTTTTTTTTCTAGGTGATGGACAAGTGTCAGTTTTTATGTTTCTCCCCCTCTACTATGTAGTTTTTAAGCTTTGTTTTGTTAATACCCAACATCAATTGTACCTGTAAATAAGGTCTGGACCTAAAAATAACCTGTTCTCCATTAAGGTCCATCAATTTCTATGAAGTAAACGCTATGTAAGAATTTCCAATAAAGCAATATACTTACAAATACACTGCCTGGATTTTTTTTTTTTTTTGTATTTCTTTTATTGTAGAGTAAAGCTCCATTCTAAGGTACCATAATTTATGGTGGATTAGGTTTTATTGCAGACAAAAATGACCTTCCTCTAATACCGGGGTGGACGTTCAATGTTGACTAATACTATGTCACATAAACACAAGTGTCCTGGTAATCTGAAAAAGAAGGCTCTACCTTTAAGATAAAACAGCTGTGTTATCATTTTGCAAGCTCCTTAACATCACAACTGTTAGATTTGTTGTCAGGAAGGAAAACTCAGCAAACACATACCGTACTTACATTTAACGCTTTTGCTCAAGGTAGAAACAATTTTAAAAAGCAACTTAATTTTAGCAGAGTGTTCAAAACCTGCCTGTTTCTCTTCCTTAAGCCTTACTTTTGTGTAGTTTGTAGAGAATGTAATATTTTCCTCATCCTATACTTGATCTTAGCCAAAAGGCCGAGAAGAGATTTTCCTCATCCTAAAATAAGTTTGTCGGGCATAACACTTCTCTGTGTAATGTCCACTAATTCTGTAAGAATCAGGCTAGAGGTCTTCTTCTCTAGGAAACTCCTCTTACTGGCCCTCACGCCCAGATAGGGCACTACCTCCTTGAGCTTCTGCAACACCATGCCCACATTCCTACCATTACACTTCCACATCGTGTTAGCAGTCTGTTTAAAATTCCATCCAGTCTAACCCAGTTAGACTTCGGGCAACTTTAAGGCAGAGGTCACATCTTATTCACATCGCTCTATCCCAAGCACCTAAGCACGGTGCCGAACACACAGTAGGAGCTCGTTATAAGCTTTCTCAATTAAAGGGTAAGTGCATGGATGCACTGAGGGACAACCAGACAAGTACGGAAGTTCTAGTTTCCCCCAGGGATGGACTAGCACTCTTTTCCTCACTGCTTTCCAAGGAGGTCAGTGTGACGATGACATGATTCTGGATGTAGGATAAGGTTGAGGAGCACTAAAGAACAGGAAGAGGACAAGGAGATGCCCAAGAATGAGAAAGGCCCATTACCTGTGAGCAGGAGGAATCCGATGTGGCCCAGGGTTGCTGGTGCTAGTTAGGGCCTTTGTAATGTTGGCTGCAGGGCTGGTTGCCAAATCATTGCCTCTTCTTTTCTTCCTTCTCTCCCTCCCTCCCATCCTTCCTTTTCTTTATTGTTTATTTACTTTTTAGTTCATCCCTACCATTTTGTAACACGTTTTTTGCAATTCCCTATCTCTGCTGAAAGGACCCAAGGAAGCTCTGCTTGGCAAAACTCTATGGGGTCAGAACCCCCGTCCCTGCTCTTTCTCCTCGCCCTTCCATCCCGTGGTGATGAGGAAAGAAAGTAGGAGGATCCTATCACTTTTTCATTGCTGAATATTTGGAGACTTTTTCTTTTGTTTGAATATGGGTGGTAGGGTTGAGGGAGGGAGAAAAGCCTTTTTTCGTGGGAGCCTCTTCCTTGTCCTTTAATACCAGCCCTCGAAAAACCTTTTATAGACTCCTCAGTGCTCAGGGCTGCAAGTACACCCACAGATTCCTTCCCACATCTGTAGTGCTCTTCTCACTGCCTCTTCCCTGCACCCCCCTTTTTTTGGATGGGTTTAGCTTCCTGTAAGGAGTCAAACATGTCTTTGATATCTGGCCAACCTTTGTTTACCCCCTTCTCTTCCTGCCCCAAATTTCAGCTCCATTTCTAGCCACTGAAGCTGAGGAATAAGCTATAGATGAGCAACTGGAAGACTAACCACATACTGCCTGCCCACCTGCATAGTCATGATCTGGGGAGCCTGCCCAGGGCCCCATGGAACATCAGCTGGAGACTCCGGGAGGGTAGAGGTGTGGAAATGGCTGGTTTCCACATTCACCGTGTCTAAGTCCTATGCCACATGCAAAAACTGTGTGTAAGTACTCAGGAGAACATTAGGGCTTTCATTTTTCTAATCCATCCAATACTAATTAGAAAATGAGAACAGTTATTAATTTTTACAGCAGTCAGTTTTCAAAAAGAAAAGAGTAAGTTCATATACATGAACTATGAGGCAATTTTGCTCTCCAGAAAAATGGATGTGGGGATCCGATGGGGGCAGTGATGCAGCAGAAGATGCAAAAGGCCCGCTGTGATTAGTGACCTAGTGGCTGCTGACATTTTAAAATTTGGGAACAAGTCGAAGCAAGTCCCTTTGTTTCTTCAAGTATTATTGCCTCTTTTCATGCTGTGGTCTGATGTAGGCAAATGTAGTTAATACTCTGATACAAAGGGCTAATTTTGTAGCTTCAGAAAGAAACTTCTGTGCTTTCCAGGAGCTTGTAAACATTTTTCTACACTTGTAAGGGAAACACAGATATAAAGAGGACTTAATATTTGATGTTTTATAATGTTCATGGAAACCATTCTGATGGCACTGCATGGACAATACCAAGGTTAGAGAAAAGAAGAAAAATATCCATCCAGATTTAAACCATCCCAAGGAAAAAAAAGGGGGGGGGCGCCTGGGTGGTTCAGTCGTTAAGCGCCTGCCTTCGGCTCAAGTCATGATCCCAGGGTCCTGGGATCGAGCCCCGCATCAGGATCCCTGCTCTGCGGGAAGCCTGCTTCTCCCTCTCCTACTCCCGCTGCTTCTGTTCCCTCTCTCGCTGTGTCTCTCTCTGTCAAATAAATAAATAAAATCCTAAAAAAAAAAAAAATCCCAAGGGCAGGATTTCCATATATGTCCAGAGGCTTATCCATTTCAATACTTTAGCAGTTAAGAGCAATTAAGCCTTCAGAATTACTTACGGATAGTCTCTCTGCCATTTGTGCATCGTGATACTCTTTATTGCTGTGTAAACATATTTTTATCAACACTTACAAGACAACCAGTTTTAATAAACAAAGTAACAAACATAAACTATAGGATTCAGGAGGGTAATTAGTCCAAACAACTGGCATACTTACAGTTGCATTTCTTCTGAACAAACCTAAGCTTGCATGCTGTTCTGTAGGTGGAGAGTCGGATACGATCCAGATCTTGAGCCCCTGGTGGGGGGAGAAAAGTACACATATGGTATGCCATGTGTGTGGAAAGGGATTTGTAATATTTATAAAGAAAACAACGATAGGTATTATAACCCATTCACTTAACTTGATTTTTATTTTTATTAGAACACAAATATAACTTTGAGACTTGAAAAGGTCTGCCTCATATCCCTCAGGTTATAGGGGAAGAGAGCACACGTAGCCAGCACGTTGGTTGTCGACAATGTTCATGGGCCGAGGAACACGACCTCAGTCCTGTGGTGTCTGCCACTTCCGAGAACAATCTGCTCAAGTTGTGACTTTAAACAGCAAGATGATAGCAGTGTCATCAAATAACCATTTTAAATGCACTGTGATTGGTCCTCAGAATATGGCTGCGAGGTGAGCACTCGCTGAATATGGGGTATCTTTCCTGTGTGACCTTAGGCCAACTGCTTTTATTTATTTTTATTTTTTTATTTATAAGATTATTTATTTGTTTGTTATTTATTTATTTATCTATCTGAGAGAGAGAGAGAGAGGGGGAGAGAAAGAGGGAGAGAGAGCACAAGTGGGGGGAGGGGCAGAGGGCGAGGAAGAAGCAGACTCCCCACTGAGCGCAGTCTGTGGGGGGTGGTGGTGGTGGGGGTGGGTGCTTGATCCCAGGACCCCAAGATCATGCCCTGAGCCAAAGGCAGATGCTTAACTGACTGAGCCACCCAGGTGTCCAGGTCAACTGCTTTTAGAAACCTCAGTTTTCTCATCTGGAAGTTAGGGATGATGATACTCCTACTACTTATTTCACAGAATTAGAAGGCAAATGCATGACTACACCTAAGCACAGAGAACACTGCCTGGCACATAGTTCGGGCTGTGTATTCATTAGTATTACTAGTGCGTATCCTGCAAACCTTCCCGTCAACCTCAGAGGAGACTCCTTTCTAAAAACAACCACTACTCTTTCTTATACTGTGGCTTCCCATTCCTCTCTAAAGAGAGGAGCATGGTCCTCATATTCTTGAACTACTTTCCTCATTCTACACTTCTACTCAAGAATCCAGCATGGCTTCTGCTGCTCACCAGGTCTGAATGTTCTGCTGAGAATCCAAGTCCCTCTGTGTGTTCTTTCCATGCCACCAACCCAGTAATATTTCCTATGACTCTATCCAGAACCTCTGCCAGGCTCGGGCTGGTGTCCTCACAATGCTCTGCAGATGGGCTTCTTGCTACATCCACACTGGAGTTCCTGGTGATCCTCCTACCCTTTTCTGAATGAGCTGATCTCTAGACTGTGTCTAGAACATAGCAGACTTTCAACAAATGTCTGTTCTTCTCTGCTTCCAAATATTTGGCTTTCTTAAGCCCATGTTTATGGTTCATAACAGATATAAAGGCACAGAGCTATATTTTGACATGTGTTGAACTTTACCAGTAAAAGTGCTACATAAATGTTTCAAAATAGAATAGTTAGGGTAGGAGGTAAATGAAGTGGCCTAGAAATAATTATATTAGGAGGTCAATTAAGTGCTTTCCTAATGAAACTCGGGATGAATTAGCAAGTGTCCTGCATTGAGAGCATTTAGCATCCCCTTGAATCAAACTGATCTCTTTAGATTCATTTAAAAATGATATCAATATTCCCATTGCTTTATAGCTTTATGAAGCAGATCATTAAACATTTATTTTTATGAGAGTGCATTACTTGACAAACAGGCTCATTGACACAGTGCTTGAAGGATCAAAGAGATAGGTAGAGCCTACCCTCACCCAAGGCGGGAATTCTCTTAAACATGCTCTCAAGAGATGGACATGTGGACAATGGCCATATAAGATTATTTTCAAAGATAGGGATGATTATAACTTAGTAAAAATAAATTAACTTTAAAGTCAGTAAGGCTTAATCTTTCATTTCCTAGTTGTGTGAACTTTGACAAGTTTTTACTCGGTGTCTGATTTCTTCATGTATATGGGGGTAACAATATCAGTTTTACCAGCTGGTAATGTCTGAAGCTTGTACCGTGAGCACTTAATAGCAGGTGGGACTACTTCAAAGATTTCTTATACCATTTCTGAGCAACAATAAGTGATAGAAATTTCTTTTTTACATTTGAGCTTTAATTTGCATCCCGATAAGTTCAATTCATTTGATCCTTTCTGGATACACATAATCTTTTCTCCCTGCCATTTGATAATTTATTTCTCACACATTGGGAAGCAGCTATCATGATCATGACTAGCATCTTCATTACCATCTGAAGATTATGTACAAATGCCCCTGTCATCATGGAGTTTAGAGTTTAGCTGGGATCATAACTTGACCTTTTAGATTGGAGAGGTTCAATTCCATAGCCACTTCAAGCACAATGTCTACCACAGAGGGAGGCACACAATAGGGCTTCAATACATGCATGTTGCTATTATGATTCTCATTATCATCAGACATGGCTTTGAGACCTTTATCCATTCTAGTCTTCCTGCTCTTTGGCTGACTCGTATCTCCTCAGAATGAGATATACAAAATTAAAATGCCACAGTTATTGCCTCGCCTATATAGAATATATAGAAAGCAATCATTACCAACTTTGATAAGGACACTTACTAATGCAATTAAAAAAAATAAATGGCTCATTCTTCTGGCTCTTTTCATTAAAAAGCAGGTTTTAAAAAATCATATGGACCTACATCTGGTCAGATTTTTCTGTTTTCTAGTTAAATGCTTATTTGGAGGCTAAAGGTAGGATGTTGTATTTATCTGGTTAGTTTCTTTTAATTTTTAGCTCGTGCTTGTAACCATTCTAAAAATTTTGATTTTGCCACCGGCATTTCAAAGGGACTTCCCAGTTTCGTGTCCTTCTGTGGAACATGAACTCTCTAGAGACAGACTATCAGAAATCCCTGAACACTAAATCTGCCTTTTCCTCTGGATGAAGATGTATTTTTATTGATGCTGAACTTGACTCAACATTCAAGAGAGTCTCAATATCTGTAAATAAGTTTTTAAAAGAAGACATTAGGGACATAGATTATTTGTGTAAGTTCTGGGAGAATAACGATAAGCCCCAGGTATCAAAGGGCTGCAATGTCGCACACAATTAAATGTCTTAGTTCCAGCAAGACCGGATCCTCCGAGGACAGAAACTGGCTCCTTGGCACCTCCTTCCCACAGAGGTCCTAGGGGCAATTTGACAAAGGTGCGTCTCTCCTGCACGTAGTCAAGAGGGGCACAGAGATGATACTTAGGGACAGGAGACTGACCGCGTTCCCTGTCCTATCACCATGTGAACTTAACTGACCCTCTGTTTTGTTCGAGTCAGGAAGGGGTCTGAGGGTTTCTTGATGTTTCCTATTTGTATAAATTCTTCCTGGCTGAGGATGTAAGCCCTGAATATCAGACAGGATGGGGTGAGCAACGAAACTTAGCTTTTCAGACATTAGCTTTTCACATCACCTTGCACAAAACAATGTTAAGTGGCAACCACAGGATCCATATGGTTCTGGGACCCAAAAAAGCTGAGCTGAGACATGCTGCACTGGCTCTTGCTCTGTTTATCCAACTTTTTAAAAATAAATTTATTTGTCTCTGCCCCAGTAAACCATAAACTTAATTCAGCTTTACATGTGTGGTCTTTCTTCTCAAAAGTCTATAAGTCTGTAGCCTGCCATGGGAGTAGTTGCATGTCTTCTGTGTCCAAGTCGGTTAAAACCAAGGACATGAACAGGGCCACAAATAGACTCTTCCAGTATGCTACTAGAAGCTGTCCTCCAAGTTGACCCATTACTTATTCCTGCAGACAGGGTCACACCACCACCTATAAATCTACCTAATTGTAATGATTCAGCTCACATTTCTCCAATACAAGCACAGTGTAAGAGACTTTGCCAGTATCTTGCTGAAATTCAGGTTCATTTTTATGCCATAGTATTTTCCTGAGCTACCGGTCTAGTAGCCTCATTAAAAAGGGGAATTAGCTGACTTAATTCTTTTATAAAAAAGAATTTTAATAAATGAATAAAGAAGTCAGTAGAGCAATCCTTGTTCTTAGCATGTTGAAATATCTAGGATTAGCACTATATTTATTACGTGATCTGAAAAAAAAATCCATCTTATCATAAAACTTAAAAGTTCATACCCTAGATGCTCAAGAATCTATATTCTCCCTTTTTAAGAAAAAATGGGTATAGCAAAAAAAAAATGAGTATAGTATTTCCCTATTTTTTCTTTTTTGCAATGTCCTCTTAATTATTTCTGAAAAAAAAAAAACGGATGGTATTTTTTCTTTTAGTATTATACCACTGGGATATAATTCTTTAAAACATGTAGATTCAACTCATTTAAAATCTAATATATTAGATTTTCTTCATAATAATATAGAGGGTGCTGGGGGTAAATAATTAAGGGTGGAGATGAATATTATTTTCTAGACTCCTGTATATATTTGAAACTTTTCATAATAAAAACGTAAAGCTAATTCACTTAAGGCAACTTGATGTTCTTGTACCATCTCCTCAAATCTCTCATAACCATGTCATACTTGGAAGAAAGTGATAAAGACAAAAGCAAAGATGCACTTAAGAAATTCTGATTGATTACAGGGCTGCCTGGGTAGCTCAGTCAGTTAAGCGTCCCACTCTTAATTTTGGCTCAGGTCATGATCTCAGGATTGTGAGATCAAGCCCTGTGTCTGGCCCCACACTACCCCCTACCCCCCACCTCTTCCTCTCTTAAAAAAAAAAAAGAAATTCTAATTGATCACACTGCTATATTCTACAAATCCTGTTTTTCCTTTCTTTTGATCTTCCTTCCAAAATTTTTCTCCTCTCTTCCTCTCTGTCCTTTCTTTCCTCACTCTCTCCCTCCCTTCCTCCCTCCTACCTTCTTTCTTTCTTTTTTCTCCTTTTATCCATCTATCTATTTATCCAACCAACCAACCTTACCTAATTTTTGGCTTTCATTTTATTACATTCTGAATAGTTTCACACAATTCATGTATAGTTTGCCTTTCATGTTTTGATAGCTCATT